CTATTTATTCATGGTTGCATTGCGTTAGGATATACAAGAACAAAGTCTTACTATAGGAAAATTATAGGGTTTTCTTTTGTTTTATTTGACCTACGATTATTCCTCTTATTTACTGTTTAAACGTCTTGATATATATTCATATGTGTGTTTAATATATATATATATATATATATATATATATATTATAATTATATATAATATAACATATATATATATATATAAAACATATTGATAAATAAAATATATAGCATTGTGTGCATTTATATACATACATATATATACTCATACACACACACACACGCACACGCACACACTCACGCACACCCACATGCTCACACACTTACATTGTGCCTTTTCCATGCAGTATTAAGTTGTTTCATCATATTTTGCATTGTCTTTTTTTTCTTTTAGATGCAATCGTTATCCTTTCCATAATGCAGTGATTAAAGTGTTAAAAAAGAAGAAAAGAGAAACCATAGTCATCTAAACAAGGAGCGTATACACGTAATAATCTTGATAAAAATCCAATATATAGTGACATTGCTACAAAGGTGAAGTGTATCTAAAAAGTATCATATAGTTTCTGAAGGGAAAACTAAGCACTACAGTGTTTTCGTTAAAAGAGAAAACAACAAAGCCATCTCGCTCAGTTCAAGACTCGGAAGTGGAGTCGACCATGAGCGAATTGCAGTATCAATTTATGTCAAACGGCAGTGACTTCGGTTAAAAGGAAAATACAAGAAAATATAAATGTATCTATCTATATAGATAGATACACACACACACACAATAATATATATATATATATAATATATAATATATATATATATATATATGCTTATACTCATGTGTATATGTGTGTTTGCGGTTATTTGAAATATTTACCTAAAACAACGCTATGTGGCATCTCCTTCCTGGTACTATCTTCCAACTACCCAATATTGTCGACATGTTGAGAGGAAACAATTTCCATCACATGGAATGGAAACCCGAGGAAAATATAAGAAAGTATATTTTCTAATACTAGACACTATACAGCTAAGATTTATTTCTATGCGGAAATCAATATTCGAATCATATATTAAGGATCTCTAGCGACCTTGAGTGCGTAGCGTCAACATACAGCCTGTCCTGCTACGCCTTCTAAGAACAACTATAACTCCGTACAGTAT